GCACGGCCGGCGGGTGATCCGGGGAACCTCGGGGGGAAGTAGGGGCCGCGGCCGCGGGCTGCCGGCCGCAGTCATTGCCGCGGAAGGAGGCGTGTCAGTCCGAACTTATGCATCGGCCGTGGAGTTAGGTCACGGGCAGCTGTAGCTCATCAGCAGCTCACTCTTCCGTGATCATAGAAATATCGTCTGTGTCGCGGGGCTCTTGAGAAGCGCTAATAAAATAATGCGAGTGTGGCTTGCATAGCGGTGTAAGGATTCAGGCAGGATTCTGTGCGACAGGAGAATGGGTGGCGCTGCCTGCAGGGTAGAGGCGCCCCTTGCAAAGCCCTGTCCCCTCAGTTCCCTCCCTTGTCTCCTCTCCCTGGAGAGGCTTGGCCAAGGAGAAGCCAAGGAGCAGTAACTTTCTGAGTTGGAATTATGCTGCGGGGAGAGAAACTTTGTATTGACCCAAATGCGAAGAAATTTCTGCCAGTTCTTATTCCCCTGTACTTAAAAGAAGAAAGTTAGGTGTGCTTCACCTAAGCTTCATTGGCCTCTAACGGAATACAGGAAGCCAACGAAAAGGTAACTTTGCAGAGTGTTGCCTGTAAGTGGGAATTGTGAAAAGTGACGACTACCTGGAGCATTGCAGTCTTTTTTGGAATCAACAGAATCATTCAGGTTTAATTGTATAACAAATCTCAAAATTGGCAAAATAAACTGGTATTAACTGATTTAATAGGTAGCTGTTGTAAGGGAATTATTGTGGGGCGCAGCTACAGTGTTTTGGACAGGTTCAAGCCTCGGACTGAGGAGAGGGCACAGTCCTTTCATGGCCGCGTGCAAGTCCCAGCCAAAGCCTTCCCAGCACAATTATAGCCAACAGCTGTAGCTGTAAGCTTGAACCTATGGTCTGAACACGTGGCCCCACGTGCCTGAGTGGTAGAGTTCAGGTGCATGTAGTTGAGTAGGATCGAAACCCAGGAGACTGTTGTAAACATCTTGATCACGCCCTTACTTTCCCTCGTGGCATCAGCTATAAAATAAAGGCACGGCTTGTGGGTGTCGGCACTGTCTCCTCATCAGAGAAGCAGCATCCCACCGAGACCCAGCTTTCATTCTCTTGTCTGTCTTTTCTCAATCCTTCACCGCCCCCTCTCAGGGTCACTGAACCTGGCTGAGCTGGCATGGCACATAAGGCGTCCTGGGGCTGAGTATGCCATGGCCGTGCCGGCTCATCCACAAATTATATTACAGATGATCATTAACTATCTAGCGCACAACTACGACCTGAGAGAGAAAAACAATTGTTGTGTTTTTGGTTTGTTTTTTTTTAAAAAATCCAAGCATAAGAAGAGCTGGAGTTTATTGACTTACCCATCAAAGCCCAGTCACTTAGAATTCTATTAGCACACATTTGTTGGGTACATTGTACACCATGGACAGTATTCGTGGAAAGAAGAATAGATATATGAACAAAATAATAAATAATAATTCCTGTTTGTTTGTTTTTAAAATATATTTTATTGATTTTTTACAGAGAGGAAGGGAGAGAAATAGAGAGTTAGAAACATCGGTCAGCTGCCTCCTGCACACTCCCTACTGGGGATGTGCCCGCAACCAAGGTACATGCCCTTGACCGGAATCAAACCTGGGACCCTTGAGTCCATAGGCTGACGCTCTATCCACTGAGCCAAACCGGTTAGGGCTTAATTCCTGTTTTGAGGAGCTCTTAGTTTGGTTGACATAAAAGAAACAATTATAGTATGTATACAATTTCTTTCACAAGTAACTTAGATAATAGCTGCTGTAAGAGGTCAAAGGAGAGAGAAATCGCTACCCTATGAGGTGGTCAAGGAGCCTTCATGGAGAAGATAGCATATGAGCTGGACCCAGAAGAATTCCAATAGACATAGGTAGTGGGAAGGGGTGAATGGGAAAGACATTCCCAAGGGAGAGAATGGAATGAGCAGAGGTGTGGAAGGGAGAAAGCATAGTGAAAGATAGCTGTTTAACATTGGGTTCCAGACGGAAAGAAGGCTGAAAAGTCAAGTTGGAACCACACTGTATTAATGTTCTCTCTTCCCCTTACTGGTTTCTTTTGAGACCACCTTCAGTCGTTTGCTCACAAATTCTCACCTCAAGATTTGTTTCTGGAGATCCTGATTGTGTTAGTTGGGTATACCAAGAAGCAGACATCAACACAGGATTAGATGTGCAAGAGGTTTGTTTTGGAGGGAGCAGGGGCAGGCAGGGAGAACTTGCAGACCACAATGCAGCTGACCCCTCTGAAAGGAAAGAGGGTTGGGTAGGAAGCTTGCGTGAAACGCAGCTCCAGGAAAGGTTTGACTTTGCAGTGGGGAGTCCTCTGCAGTTTGCCAGAATGGGTCTGCTACTCTGCCGTGCGTAGTCATTGACTAGAAGCAGCCTTAGAAAGCCTGGCCTCTGTGCAAATGTGATGGATCCAGAGGACAATAGCTGGGCTGTTGTTAGTTGTCCTAGGGTATTGTTATTCATTCATTTTCAGAAAGTATTTTCTTGGTTTGATCCTAGCTAATAAAAGAATAATATGCAAATTAACTGTCACTCTGTCACTGCGACAAAGATGGCGGCACCCATAGTGGCCGGGGCAGGATGCTGGCAGTGTCACCCCGGCAACGTGAGCCCAGCAGGCAAGTGCACCCGCAGGCAGCAACCAGCAGGGCCCGCTTGGCCATTGCCACGGCGACCTGTGAGCAAGCAAGCACGGCCCACAGGCAGCACCCAGCAGGGCCTGCTTGGCCATTGCCGTGGTGTGGAGCAGGCAGGCAGGCCCCGCAGAGAGCAGAGACCCATGGGGAACGGGCCCAAGCTGTCAGTAGTACATCCCCTGAGGGCTCCCAGATTGGAGAGGGTGCAGGTCGGGCTGAGGGATGCCCCCACCCCATGCACAAATTTCGTGCACCGGGCCTCTAGTG